GGTCATGTAATTGATTAGGGCACAGGAGTGGGAGACCTGGGTTTTGTTCCCAGCTGTGCCACTGACCTGCTGCGTGATTTTGGGTAAGTTGCATCTCTTCTCCGTGCCTCACTTTCCCCATCGGTAAAATGGGGATTATGTTAAATGCCCACTTTTGTAAAGTGCTTTGAGATCTACAGATGAAAAATAAAATGTAAATATGCTAAGCACCACTATTATTTAAAAAAAACCTGTGTGGACGTGTTCCTCGACTTCAATGAGCTAATGTCAGTTTACACCAGCCAAGGATCTCACCCAACATAACATAAGAACAGCCATACTGGGTCAGACCAATGGTCCATCTAGCTTCGTATCCTGTCTGACAGTGGCCGGTACCAGATGCTTCAGAGGGAATGAACAGAATAGGGCAATTTCCAGTGATCCATCCCCTGTCGTACAGTTCCAGCTTCTGGTAGTTGGAGCATGGGGTTGGGACCCTGACCATTTTGGCTAATAGCCATCGATGGACCTGTCCTCCATATTCTTATCTAATTTATTTTTTGAGCCCAGTTATACTTCTGGCCTTTGTAACATCCCCTGACATTGAGTTCCACAGGTTGACTGTGCATTGGGCAAAGAAGTACTTCCTTACTTTTGTTTTACACCTGCTGCCTATTAATTTCATCAGGTGATCATTAGTTCTTGTGTTATGTGAAGGGATAAATAACACTTCCCGCTTCACTTTCTCCTCACCATGCATGATTTTATAGACTTCTATCATATTCCCCCCTTAGGCCTGGTCCACACTAACCCCCCACTTCGAACTAAGATACGCAACTTCAGCTACGTGAAGAACGTAGCTGAAGTCGAAGTACCTTAGTTCGAACTTACCGCGGGTCCAGATGCGGCAGGCAGGCTCCCCCGTCGACTCCACGTACTCCTCTCGCAGAGCAGGAGAACTGGCGTCGACAGCGAGCACTTCCGGGATCGATCCCAGAAGATCGATTGCTTACCACCAGACCCGGAGGTAAGTATAGACCTACCCTTAGTTGTCCCTTTTCTAAACTGAACAGTCCCAGTCTTTTTAATCTCTGCTCATTCGGAAGCTGTTCCATAACCCTCATCATTTTTGTTGCTGTTCTCTCCACCTGTTCCAATTCTGAGAGATCTTTTTTGAGACAAGGTGACCAGAACTGCACAGTTCAAGATATGGGTGTATCACGGATTTATATAGTGGCAGTATGATATTTTCTGTTTTAATATCTATCCCTTTCCTAATGGTTCCTAACATTCTGTTCGCTTTTTTGACTGCTGCTGCACATTGAGCGGATGTTTTCAGAGAACTATCCATGTTGCCTCCAAGATCTTTCTGAAGTGGTAACAGCTAATTTAGACCCCATCATTTTGTGTATATATAGTTGGGATTATTTTTTCCGATGTGTATTATTTTGTATTTATCAACATTGAACTTAATCTGCCATTTTGTTGCCCAGTCACCCAGTTTAGTGAGATCCCTTTATCACTATTCACAGTCAGTTTTGTACTTAACTGATTTGAGTGCTTTTGTATAGCTGCAAATTTTGCCACCTTTCTGTTCACCCCCTTTTCCAGATCATTTATGAAAAGTTGAACACATTTCCCAATACAGATCCTTGCGGGAACCCGCTATTTACCTTTCTCTGCTGTGAAAACAGACCCTTTATCCCTACCCTGTATTTCCTATCTTTTAATTAGTTACTGATCTAGGAGAGGACCTTCCCTCTTATCCCACGACTGCTTACTTTGCCTTTGGTTAGGGACTTGTCAAAGGCTTTCTGAAAGTTGAAGTACACTATATCTTCATATTCTTTGCATGGTTAAATAGTAACGGAGGAGAAGAAATATTAGAAAATATTAAGAAGCATAGCTAAGAGAAAAAGAGAAATGTTTTCTGCTGTGATCTGAAATGAGATGGAGCTGAGAGATACAGAAAGAGCAGAAGTAGCAGCAGGAAAAGTCATCAACAGTGGCAAGACTGTGTATCCACAATCTTGGATAGTGAGGCTGCTCGTGCTGGGCGAGCAAACGAGAGACTACACAGAAGTTAAGGGCTATGAAATAAGCTGTAGCCAGTCCATGGAAGGCTTTAAAGAAGGAAGAGGGGACATTTTATTTCCTGATTCCTGGAAAGAATGGGGGAGTCAGTGGATTTGTTCAAAGACCGGAAAGATGTGATTGCACTTGTTTGTATGAGTCAGAAAGCAAGCAGCATTCACAGTGGTTTGCAGTCAAGATGGAAGGGTGTATCAAGTGGGGTCTGGTTCTATTCAATATCTTCATCAGTGATTTAGATAATGGCAGAGAGAGTATATTTATAAAGTTTGTGGCTGATACGAAGCTGGGAGGGGTTGCAAGTGCTTTAGAGGATAGGATTAAAATTCAAAATAATCTGGACAAACTGGAGAAATGGTCTGAAGTAACTAGAATGAAATTCAATAAGGACAAATGCAAAGTACTCCACTTAAAAAGGAATAATCACTTGTGCAAACACAAAATGGGAAATGACTGCCTAGGAAGGAGTACTGCGGAAAGGTGATTCACTGTGACCCCCAGTCCAAGCTAAATATTAGTCAACCGTATAACACTGTTGCAAAAGAAGGCAAACATCATTCTGGCATGTATTAGCAGGAGTGTTGTAAGCAAAACACAAGAAGTAATTTTTCTGCTCTACTGTGTGCTGATTAGGCCTCAACTGGAGTATTGTGTCTAGATCTGGGCGCCACATTTCAGAAAAGATGTGGACAAATTGGAGAAAGTCCATAGAAGAGCAACAGAAATGACTAAAGGTCTAGAAAACGTGACCTTTGAGGGAAGATTGAAAAAATTGGGTTTGTTTAGTCTGGAGAAGAGAAGACTGAGGAGGGGACATAAGTTTTCAAGTACATAAAAGGTTGTTACAAGGAGGAGGGAGGTAATTTCTTCTCCTTAACCTCTTAGGAGAGGACAAGAAGCAATGGGCTTAAATTGGAGCAAGGGAGGTTTAGGTTGGACATTAGGAAAAATTTCCAAACTGTCAGGGTGGTTAAACCCTGGAATAAACTGCCCAGGGAGGTTGTGGAATCTCCTTCGTTGGAGATTTTTAAGAGCCGGTTTGATAAACACCTGTCAGGAATGGTCTAGATATTACTTAGTCCTTTTCATGAGTACAGGGGGCTGGACTAGATGACCTCTCGAGGTCCTTTCCAGTCCTTTGATTCTATTTCTGCAGCATTAACTTCAACTGATTAGATGCTGTTTTATGGGTGATGGTTTGGTATAGGAAGAATGTAGTGAGTAGCAGGTTTGTTGTAGAAATAGAATGGAGCTGGCTCTAGCTAGGACGTATGCTAGAGCCAAGGCCATTCCTTCTGAATCTGCCTCCCCACCAATGTGCAGTTCACTGTCACCTCAAAATGTCAGAATTAAAATATAGAATTTTCTGCCCCAGATATGAACAGTCCTTGTTCAACAGGTTTTTTGGTCCTTCTGTAGTGCCTTTCATCCATGGATCTCAAAGCGATTTACACGCATGATTCATTTAGCTTCATGACAAGTCTCTAAATTAAGTGTTATAATTCCCATTTAGCACATGGGAGCTTAGCAGTCAGAAAACGCAGTGACAACACGTTTTGCGTTCTGCAGTGGACATGAAGCATGTCTCCAGGCTGTGCTAAAGCTTTGGCCGGTCCAAGGCTTTAACTTAATAACAGAGCATAGTTAAGCTCCCTGTTTGCAGTGCAGAAAGAACTCTGTTGTAAGCCACATGGGACAACTATGCTGTATCTAGGTCCCTGTACTCAGTTGTTTTAGAAGTGTAGATCTGCCCAAAGTACATATTGGACTTCAAGTCCCTGAAGGTGCACTGACTTCATTGGAGCTATGCCAGTTTACACCAGCCATGAATCTGGCTGTAGTTTGTAACTCCTAATAATGTTTCTCTCTTTTTATTTCTCCTTCAGACAACAGCACTCTGAGTAAAGCCGTTCAACCAGGGGAAACCTACACGTATAAATGGAGCATCGTGGACACCGATCAGCCCACTGCACAGGATGCCCAGTGTCTAACGAGATTATATCATAGTGCTGTAGATGTAACCAGGGATATAGCCTCTGGACTGATTGGCCCACTTCTGATTTGTAAAAGTGAAGCACTGGACAAGAGGGGTGTGCAGGTATGATCATGTTCTACAACTTCTGAGGGGGGCGGGGCTCCTGTCTGAGTGTGGTGTTTGAACTTAGAGAAAAGGCCTCTAGAACTGAACTGGGATCGGGTCACTAGGCTTCTGTAGAAGTCAGTCTAAAAACCTGTAGAATGTAATGCGGTATGAGATCCTTTGGAGAAGTTCTTTGAACCACCCTACAGAACTCACTAGTTGGGACATTAAATTCTATAGGATGAGTCAAAAACCCTAAAATAAGGGGATTGTTTTCTATTAAATTCGATAGGACTTTTCTATAAGGGCTGCTTGCAGTGATAGCTTTTAGCTGCCTGCTGGCATATTTGGCCCCACATTTAGTGTGCTCGTTGGGGCTTTCAGTTAGAAAGATCAGGCTGCTAGTGATTTCTTTCATGGTGCTTTGTTTGCCAAGACAAGAAATTGCAAAATCCTGGTTCTAGACACCACCCTAAACTTCCCCAAAGTTTGAAGGTATGCAGGGAGAAAGGGAGGAAGTTCTGACCCCAATCTATCATAGGTTTAACCCAGGTCTGAAACCCCAAACTTTGGGGATCCAGAAGCATTGCAAGGGGGTTGCTGGGAGAGTTCTTCCACTTCCCCTCCATGGGGCCAAAGGAAGGAATCTACTTTGGCAGTGGCTCAGACACCACCCACTAGTGAGTGGAAGCAGTGACTAAAGCGCCTGCACATACAGCAACAAGTGGTCCACTAAGGGGAGCCCAGTTCATAGCAGCCATGCTAGTAGCTGGTCCAGTGTCACCCAGTGAGTCAGTTGCAGAGGTAGGAATGGAACCCAGGAGTCCGGAAGCCCAGTCCCTTGCTCTAACCACTGGACTGTGCTTCTGTTCACTTGAATGGAAAGTTTGCCTCTGGAGGGATGGCAAGATTAGGCCCTTAATATACCCCACTATGTATCAATTAGCTGCTCGCAAAACTTACCCTGCCGTGTCTGCTGTCTTTTTCAGAAAAAGGCAGATGTAGAGCAGCAGGCCGTGTTTGCCGTGTTTGATGAAAACAAGAGTTGGTACTTAGAGGATAACATCAAGCAGTACTGCAGCAACCCCTCCAGCGTTAAAAGGGATGATCCCAAGTTCTACAGGTCTAACGTAATGCACAGTGAGTGGGAAACTAAGCCCAAGTTTGCAAAAGCTCATGTAAGCACAAGTACCCAGATGGGTGCTTATTCTGAAGTGCAAGGCAGGCATGGGAATTTCCCAAGTGGCAGAAACTGGCCCCTGAGATTGTGTGCTGAAGGACGAATGTGTGCTGAAAGCACGAATGAGCAGAGTTCTGGTTCTGGCTTCAAGGATCTGCTATTTCCAGAATTTCATAGGGCATGATTAGGGCAACTTAGGCACAAACAAGCTCATCATGAGCCAGGCACATGTAAACTGAGAAGGGGAAGTGAGAGTGGTCTCAGCAGCCCTGCATGGGCTTCTGGGCCACCAACTGCAGTCCATTGAGGTAGCACCTGGAGGTGGGGGGTGGAGGTATCAGTGACTGTGGGAGACAGAGAGCTAGAGTACCTGGGTGAGGGGGTGGGGTTCTGGTAAATGTCTGCGTAGAGCCTGGCAGAGGGGAATGGATACTGGGGGTGAGTGGTTATAGTGGGCAGGGGCTGGCAGGGTTCCTGGGGTGGTGACAAGGAACAATCTGTGATGCTGCACCTGTTTGCCCTGGGGTGGATGGGGGAAGGAATCAGGAGGGAAGTTGGGAAGAGTCCAGAAGTCAGCCAAGCAGCTGCATGCCTCGTACTGCATGCCTTTTGGGTTTGGAGCAAGCTGTAGCTATTAGCATGGCACTAAGCAATTGGTAAGTGTTAATGAATCTGTTAACTTGACAGTGGGGAGGGGAGCCTGGCTGCTCAGCCCTGTCTGGGACCTCAGTGCATGTAGTTCTGAAAAGCTGCCTCCTCAGAACCACAGCACAAGGGAATCAGGAGGGAGCATGTGGTCCAGTAACACACAGGATAGCAGAGCAGCCAGAGAAACTGCTGGTAATACACATATGGAGATATCTCCTAGAACTGGAAGGGACCCTGAAAGGTCATCGAGTCCAGCCCCCTGCCTTCACTAGCAGGACCAAGTATTGATTTTGCCCCAGGTCCCTAAGTGGGCCCCCTCAAGGATTGAACTCACAACCCTGGGTTTAGCAGGCCAATGCTCAAACCACTGAGCTATCCCTCCCCCCAATGCTAGCCTCTGGGGTTTCTTCCAGTGTTTGACTCTAGCTTGTGAATCTGAGCATGTGTCCTGAAGGCATATGCCCTCCCACACTGGTTGGTGACTGATTGCACAAGCACTGGGAGCCCATTTCTCACCCTCCCCAGTGTACCTGGCCCAGGTCACCCACAGGCCTGTGTTATACAGTGAGTAATGCAGAACCCAAAAGTGAAAAGTAAACACAAGTGAAATTGACTCGTAGTCTATTTTCACCCTAGCTAGCTGAGAGAAATGTACAAAATAAACAATTTTTAAAATATATATTTGAATTCTTTCACCCTGAATCCAATATAGGGTGACTAGGAACAGAGGTAAGGGCATGTTATTTTAATTTGTGATTTTTTTAAACCTAATGGTGTCCCTTCAAATGAAGGTGACTGGATTGCAGCCCAATTTCATTAGAGTTCCAATAATCTTTCCGTCTGGATACAAAGTTGTGTCTGTTCCATCCCTGATGTCACTCCATTGAAGGCATGAATTTAGCTTACCGTCTTGCATGCTGGTGAGGCTTTAAGGTGCAGTAATATCATATCTTGTGCTTTGTTTTAGCAATAAATGGCTACATGTCTGACAGAACTGAAATCCTTAGATTTTGCCATGACGACATTGTGCAGTGGCACGTCTCCAGTATTGGCACCCAGGATGAGATAGTGTCCATACGCTTTTCTGGTCACACTTTTTTGACTCGAGGGAAGTATGAAGATGTACTGAATCTTTTTCCCATGAGTGGAGAATCGGTCACTGTAGAAATGGACAACGCTGGTACGTGGCAGGACTGCTGTGTTTGTTTAATGATCTGCTAAGAGATTTCATAGCTAGAGTCCATAAGGACTCATAAAAATAGAAAAGGTTTGTATAAATTGCATACAAAATTTCAGCCCATCTAAATCTTTCCCTAGATTACAGCAAGAGTGATTGATATACATGGGGTATATGTATGCTGGCTGCACGTGACACAGCAGTGCATATGCTATACTTACTGATGATTCTGATTTGCTTTTGAGCACTCCCCAAAAAAATCCTTACTGTGGGACTAGTTGTATAACTGTCATTTGAGGCACTGTATTGAAGTTCTTGTAAAAATCTATAGAAATGGAAAAATGTCCACATCTAAACCAGCAGGCTTGATGCCTTGAAGTAGAAGGGTTTGGATCCCTTAATTATTTATCCTGTTTAAAGTACCTGTGAATGTTCTCCTTGTCCATATAAATGGCTAGTTCTCTGCTAACTTCTTGGCTCTAGTGATACCTTCTGGCAGTGAATTCCCCAGGCTAATTATGCATTATGGTTACTTTTTTTTTTTTAAAGGAAAATGTTTACATGAAGCTGGAAACCTCCATCAGACTTAACAGAAATCTCCAAAGTCGTACTTTTGTACTTCTCCGTCATTATTGTTTGGTTTTAGTATGTGATCACCTCCTTCCCTCCCTAGACCTTCTTTTCCAGTTCTTGTAAAATGTGTTCATTATTGTTGACTTTGGAAATAATGTAAGTAAAGCAATGCAATTCTGTCACTTAAAATATAGAGGAGGTAGAAAATTACATCTGGCATCTTTTTCAGGTAAAAGCCATTTTTGTCCCTCTCTCCCATGTTTTATTCTGGGACATGCCATGAAATGCAAAGAGCCTGGAGTCAATTGATGCGCTGTGCCCATTTATTCTCATGTAGGCCAATCTAGAGGTCCAAATGTGGAATTTCACTGTCCTATTAAAGACCTTCACCCTCCAGAGGGTTTTAAATTATGGTAACCTATCTGATTTTGAAATGATTTAAAATGCCTGTGAGGATTTTTATCATGATCAGTATTCTCTCATCCTTAGGTTTATACACATAACACAAGAGACATAACCCAAACTCACAGTTCAAACTTTGCAAAGTTTGGATCCCTATCTAAACTTCACAACTGACCTCTTGTTTCCATCTAGTTTTGGTCTCTTATCTCCCTTTATATCATGGGTTGTACCAAACACCGGAAACCAAATAACCCTAAACTTTAGGGAAGTTGAGATCCAGATCTGTTTTTGAGCTTTATGGGTCAGTTGTATTCAGTATTCATGATTTATTGCTACGGTTATGCCTAGGAATCTCAATCAAGGACCAGAGCAATATTGTGGGGTGCTGTACAGACTAATAACACAGAAGACAGCCCCTGACCTAGAGAGTTTACAATCTAGACGGGACATGACAGGTGGGGGTCAAGCTCTACAAATAATATGTAGTATTTTTTTTTTTCAATTGCAGGTACGTGGCTTTTTGCATCCTGGGGTTCCCCTGAGATGAGCCATGGCATGAGGCTGAGGTTTAGAGATGCCCAATGTGAAAAAGATGTAGATTATTATTCTGATGAGGATGACTCGTACAAAATCATACATTTCTCCTCTGAGAAGACTTTTAAAAATGTGCCTGTCACCTCACCCCAAACTGGAGGAGAAACAGGAGAAACATCAGAAAAAAAACAGCAGTCTTCTGATGATTTTGATTACCAAGCTTTTCTGGCCTCAAGTTTGGGACTTCGGACATTTGGGAAGAAATCAATGGTCCAGGAAGAAATCCAGAATCTTACTGCTCTGGCCATAGATGAGAACTTTGGCATCAGCACTAAAAGTGCTGATGTGGCTGCTGGCTCAGATCCGCCATTCATGGAGAACAGTGATACCTTGGACACTGATGTGCTCTGGGAAACGCAAAGCACTGCTCCTCTCCCAACCAAGGCTGGGGTCCTCCATAAAAATTACACAGTGGCAGCAGAAGAACATTCACTGCCAGTCACCACAACAGTAAGTCCTGACTTGGCATCTGAAGCTGGAAACCAAAGTGACTATGAAGCAAATCAGAGTCAGATGTCAGGAAATTATGAGAAAACATTTGCAGGTGAACTACTGAGGACCAGGGAAGAAGCCCAAACAAAAGATGCAGCAGAACTGTTACCTGACAGAGGGGACAGAATGAAGTCCTCCTTTGCAACACTCTATTCAGAGGAACCGCAAGAGGAAAGTTCAGGAGGAGAATACAATTTCAGTAGAAAGAGGGAAAGGCGAGACCTGCTGGAGACTAAGTTTTACGCCGTTAAAAAGATGCAAGCCCTCTTCAATTGTATACAGCAAAATAAAAGTCTTTCCTCTCTTGGCAACACCAATTCAGACAGATCATCTCTTTCTGCTCACCATGCAGAGAATATCTCCAGTTCAGATATATTAGGGACTGACCAACTTCCAAATGAATATGTTGAAGACCAGGGCTTGGAGGAGGAGGAGGAAGAGGAGGAGGAAACCAAGAAAGAAAATGCTGAATTTCCCAAACATACAGATAACTTAACTTTTGCTGTGGGACACAGGGCAGAAAACAATGAGTTAAACATGTTCAATCTTTCTGACTTAGAACTACCCAAAGATAAACAAGAAAGAAATTTTACTCTAGATTATGCATCGGATATCTTAATTTCTACTCGCAGCCCAGTGGTGGCAAAGGACATGCTAGGAAAGCTGTCGCCAAGAGGTATGAAGTCTCCATCTAAAATTATGAATGAGAAAAGGAATTTGGCCTCTGGGAAGGAGAGTTATGGGATGGAGACAAATTCAGCTCAGGCTACTGATAAATTACAGAATCGTTCCAGAAATGCTACAATGCCTACAAGAGAGAGTGTATCCCTGAATAAGAAGAAGCAAGGAAAATTCAAAGGCTACTCTCAGTTTACAGAGGGTCATTGGAAAGTAAGCAGCAAGCATCCAATGCTGAAAGGGGAAGAGAGAAATGTGAATGGCACCTTGAGTAAATCTGTGACTCTCATCAAGACCCGAAGGAGGAAAAAGAATAATCAAAAGTATAGTAGTCTCTCATTGACACCCAGAGGTGTGAGACCCCCAAAGATACCTGGAGAGCATAACTGCACATTATTGTCCAGTGAGGCCAACCACATAGTGTCCCTTTGTGAGACCAACAATACAGCATTGCCCAGTGAGGCCAACCTCCCGGTTTTGCCAAGCAGGGCTAACTACACGCTGACCCCAAGACAATTTAAGCCAGTCATCATAGGGCTTCCCAGTGGGAATAGGGACTCCAAGGAGCATGTTCCAGGAGGCTCTGACCGTTTGGAAATTGCAGATGACCAATATACAAGGGACCCCAGATTCAACATTAATAATGTCCGTAACCCTGATGACATTGCTGTGCATCATCTACACAACAGAGGGAACATGAGAAGATACTACATTGCAGCCGAAGAGGTCTTCTGGGACTATGCAGGACTAAAGAAAAGGTTGGGCCAAATTCTTCCTCTCTTGCCTCACACCCTGTTGCTAAATACCAGGCCACTGATTCAGATAGCTGTC